AAAAAACCAATTTTAAAATTGCTAATTTAACCGACCAGAAGCCTAGCTTAACAGACAGTATCAAAGACATTACAACATTCGAACTTCATTTAGTCCTAAAGAGTGCCAAAGGGTCCAGCCCCGGAATGGATAAAATACCTACTCAATGTCGATAAATATCTCACCCAATCTCCAAAAGCACTTATGTCGCTTATGCAGCAAAATTCTAGTAACCGGTACGGTGCCACACGACTGGAAACACGCTACTTTAATACCCATCCCAAAACCTGGAAAAAGCTCCAAAATCTTTGAGAAAATAATCGCAAAACGATTAACGACCTGTCTGCAAAATAAAATATGTACAGAACAGCACACCTTTTTAACCCAACGCGGCGTGCACACTCTTTGCCATCAACTGGAAAGCAAGTTAAAAGAAAACATGGCCAACAAAAAGCATAGTGTCTTTTTGTCTGAGGACCTAGAGAAGGCTTTCGATCGCGTAATTGATACTTTTGTTATTAAACAGCTTCACGAATGGGGCATTCCGAAAACACTACTGCAAGTAATTTCATCCTTTCTATCCAACAGACTAATTACAACACGGATAGACGGCTACCTTTCCCATAAACGCGCCCTGGAAAACAGGCTACCGCAAGGTTCACCACTCTCCGTTGTTCTATATAATGTCTACACAAACTCGCTCGCTGTTGAGCTCAAAAAATCTGAAGGATTAGACTTTCTCGGAATCTACGCGGATAACATTTTGACAATATCTTCAGGCCCACAAGGGGAGGTGGGAAACCACATTGAGTCCTTGGACCATAAAATCAACATTTGGGCGAAAAGCAGGGGCGCTATAGTGCCAATCAGCAAAGTTGAAGCCTTAGTGTGCCGTAAACAGAAATGTGCAGTGACCACCTTAAAGTTGAGAGGGAACAACATCCAGATCAAAAATAGTATTAGAATTCTTGGGGTTGTATTTACGAAATCGTTACTATGGAATGAACACTCGGAAGTACGTTGTGAACAAACTCAACCAAGTTAACAATCTCA